AGTGAGTATTATACATTGTATGATCGCTTGGTAGGAGTTTGCCTATAAAGAGGATTAGAAAAATCCATATGGTATTATATCCTTTCGATGCATGAAGGCCAGCCTTGTCCCACTATTTGTTGAAGAATTTTTGCACAGTTTGTCAAGGGATTTGAACCTATCTATCTCTACTTGTTTGTCGAGGATACTAATTTAACATTTACGACACCCTAGGGATTCAAAAATGGGAGAAATCGTGGTTTAAGAGTGAGTTTAGGGATCTTTAGTGGGGTCACATAGTTGTTTGTACTGTAACAATGTGCCTTGTGATTTGATTTGTGGAAAATAAGAATAGGAAAAATTGTGAAATTATGACTTGTGTTACGTGTGACCACAAAATTTTGAGTAATCAACTCTTATCTAAATGTTGTGTCAATTAATATGAAACTACATGTGATAGATGTACCTTGGTTACTTAATGGTTATACTCACCCCTCTCTTTCAATATTTTACAAGCTCTAGTTTGAGCATGGAAAGGGAAAAAGCTTAAGAGATTTAGGAATTTCCATATTCTAATTGTAATACTCCTAATCTTATTTATTTTTGTGTAATAGATAGAATATTGCCATTTAGATGATGTTTTGTTTACACTTATACTATATTGTTGTTTATAATTTTGGGATGTATTTTGGGCTATAAAATGTTGTACGTAAGTTTGACTAGTGTTAATAGGATCAAAATACTAGTGCAAGTGTAGGAATGTTGAAATAATTCTAATTATTATGATAATATATGGTATTATAGTTAAATTGTTGGAGTTAATTAAATGATATTACAAAACGCTAGATACCCAAGCAGATTTTAAAACCAACGATCTATTTAGTATGACTATCTTTATAAGAATTATTACTGTCTAAATGATTTTCATTTTCAACAAGTCAAAACCAATTATGATGTATGTTACGAGAATGATTAGAAAGAGTCATAGGAGATTTAAAATTATTCAAATCAGCCCCTACCCTCCTTAGAATTTCTATGCCAAAGCAAACTCTCTCATTAGAGAACAATTTTTTGCATCTAGAATATCATCATGTATCCTAACAAACATAGCTAAATAAGATATCCATTTGAATCTTTGCTTTACCTCACACACTTAATCGAATTTTAATAACTTTATTTTTTCCCTTTTTTAATTTTCCATTACTTTTTCTTTTTTATTGGGTTGAATGTGATAGAATTAAGGTAAAAAAATAAAATTTTTTGCATGGACCTGATGTACCACTTCGTCCTAACTTTGTTTGATAAAAACATATTATATTAGGCAAATGTAAATATAAATTGAGTTTGTGATTAATGATGATAGACATAGAAAATATAAAAAAATAAAGAGTCGTTTTATTTTTAAAATAAAGTCATTACAAATAATAACACGAAATATTTTAGGGTTAATGAACAAAATGTTGAAGTATTATGCAAAATAAACTCTGAATCTTGAACTCTTACAATGTGCAAAATGGATCCTTTTAAATTCATAACAAATTAAACCTTACCTTCAACCTTTTATTGATGCCATTACTGTTCACAGTATTATTCATCGTGGGCCTTTGTCAAATGATGATGTGGCAGTTCCTTGTTGATGTGTTATTTGTTAATTAGCCACAGACCGTAAACTATTATTGCATGAGTAGCATTTTAGGCCTTGAACTTTAAAATTTTAAGCAAAGTATCCCATCATTTATGTATAAAACATTGACTATCATGTAGATTAAATTAGCCTCAGCATGCTCCGTTGCGTTGAACGCATCGTTGGTCGTGGTGAATGACGCATAATTTTGTGAAATGACATTTTTTACCTTTTTTGTAATGTTTTCCAAACGATTGATATCTCATGTTTTTATATACTTTATAATTCTAATTTAATCTTATTTTGAATAATGTTTATTTATTTAATGGTAAAAACTTGAAATTCTATTTGAAAAGAAATTTAAACATCATAGAATTTTACAGATGATGAATGCAAAAGTCGACAATTTTATCAACAAATTTAATATTCAAATTAACCGATTAATTAAAATCCTTTGATATTTAAACTTCTTTTTTATTGGGATCCCAAGTTTTTACCATTAAATAAATAAACATTATTCAAAATAAGGCTAAATTAGAGTTGTAGAGTACATGAAAGTATGAGATACTAATTATTTAAAAAACATTAAAAAAAGAAAAAAAATATCATTTCACAAAATTATGGTCATTCACTATGGCCAATGATGAATTCACTACCGCGAGCCACGCTAAGACCAATTTAGTCTATATAATAGTTAATGTTTTATACATAAATGATAGAGCTAATTTACTCAAAATTTTAAAGTTCAAGGTCTAGGACATTATTTATGTAATAGTTTAGAGTCTGTGACACATAAGCAAGGGACTATCACATTAGAATTTAAATGGGGCCTATGGTGAACAATAATGGCATTAACAAAAAGTTAACGATAGATTTAATTTTCTATGAATTTAAAAGTTTAGAATTTATTTTGCACATTTTAAAAGTTCAAGGTTCAAGGTGCTTTTTGTATAATACTTCAGGATCCATTTTACTTATTAATCTAATATTTTGTTTGAATGAACAGCTAAGAAATTCTTGCATAGATTCAATACACTACATCATTCATATTCTATCTAATGAAATTACACCAATTCAATTAAATAAAATTTTATGTGTCATTATTTTTAATGACTTTATTTTTAGAATAGAATGATTATTTAATTTCTTGCATTTTCTCTTTCTATTATCATTAATGATAAATTAATTTATATTTAAGGTATGTGAATGACATGTTTTATTGAATGAAACGTGGATGACGTGGCACATTAGGTTTATACAAGAATTTTTCTAAAGTGGTACAATAGAAAATGTTTTTATTAGACAAAGTATAAATGATGTGATGTATCATGTCTATGGAAGAATTTCTTAAAAAAAATCTTATTAAATAAGATCATGAGTTCAAATTATGTGCATAGCCAAAAAAATGTGTTAAAAATATTACTCTACTTCCTATAATATTTGGCTTTAGATAAATAATTTTGGATGTTGGATACGTGAGAGTTTTACAAATAAATAAATAAATTTGTTAAAACATATTCTTGATCCTTTAATTTTTATATGAGATTTTAGTTTATTTTCTTAATTTTATAAAGTATATTTTGAGTCCTTTAATCTTAACACCGTACTTTCAAAAGATTATTTTTGTGTCATCATTATTATTTTTAAAAAATTAAATTTAATATATTAATATTTGATAATACTTTGTCATATTTAAAAGTTTATTGTAGAAATTTTTTATTGATAAAACTAGCTATCTTGGAATTAAATATTCAAAAAATATTTTATAAAATTAAAAGACTAAAATAAGATCTCATATAAAATTAGAAGATTAAAAGAAAAATTTAGTCTAAATAAATCCATTTTATATAAATAGAAAAATAAAAATAAAATCTCCTGAATTATATAAATGATAATTTTATCTCTTAAAATGTTATAATTTAACTAAAATTTTAATAAATTTTGTATTAATAAATTTTAAAATAAAAATATCATTTTATCCTTATTGATAATTTTTAATTTTTTATTTAATTTTTATAATTTTTAAATAAAAGTTGTTATTCCTTAAAAAAATATTGTGATTTAGGCTTGTTGTTTTGAAAACTTGTTTTTAAATAATAAAAATTACATTTAACAAGTTGTGATTTCTTATTTAAACTATTGTGATTCACATAAAAAAATTTATTATTCGTTAAGTAAAAGTTTTGATTCAGATTTGTTTTCAATAACAAAAATTACATTTGATAAGTTATAATTTTTTATTCAACTATTGTGATTTATGTAATAAAAGTTATTATTTCTTAAGTAAAAGTTGTGATTGCTTATTATTTTTATCAAAGATAAAATGATTTTTTGACTTTAAAATTTATTGATATATAACTCTTTAAACATTTTAATAAAATTATAATATTTTAAAAATTAAATTATTATTTATATAACTCAATGATGCTTTATTGTCATTTTTTCTCTACAAATTTTCTGTTTGTCGTGTATAATTTGGACTTGGATTCTCTCCTTTGAGAGAAACCTCCTCTGCCTCTTCTTTGAAGCAGAGGTTAATCTGAATCATCCAAATTGGTCTAGATTTAATATTTTTATTTTTTATATTTTTAAAATAAAAAATAAATAAAAATTATAAAAAAATTTAATAAATATACTTATTAATCTGATAGTCCATATTTAATATATATGGTCTAAAATTAATATTAAAATTTTTAATAAGTTTAATGTTCTGTTCAAAATATATTTACACTATTCAAAATATATTTGAAAAGTTAATTTAAATTTTTTATATTAAATTTAAATCATCTATATTAAATTTAAATTTTAAATTGATAAGTATATTTATTAAAATTAAAAATTTTTATACAACTTTTATTTTAAAAATATAAATAAAAAATATAAAATAAAAATATTAAATTTTTTTTTCGGTATAAACCATCTGGTATCCTGGGTTCATTACTGATGGGACAACCTCTTTGAGGTTGCGTTAATTATCGTGTTAGTCACTCCTCAAAATTCGAACCTCGCCTTGAGAAATACTAATAGTAGTTCTTTCCAACTCTATCAAGCATCCATTGGTTAAAAAAATATTAAATTTAAACTGTTTGAATTAAATTTAAATGGTCTAAGTCTTAGGCAGAGGAGATTTTTCTTAAAGAAGAGAAGCCAACTTCATATAATTCTTGGAAAGATGAGAAGTTACTGATTGAAAGCAAGATGACAAGGTATTGATGGCCCAAAACAGAAAAAAAAAAAAAAAGGATGAGAAGTTATACATGCTGTCTCGTTCTATTGGCCAAACAGCATCATAATCTCATTTTTATTTGTTATTAAAAATTAAAAATATCTTTTTGACCAACAAAATTAAAAATATCCGAATAAAAGGAAAAACCTCCGCAAGCAACCGGTAAAACTTAAAGCTTGTCACGCGCCTCTCTCTCTCTCGCACGCACACAGCTATTGCCGTTGCGAATCCCGAACCCCTGCTTTCTCATACTGACCAGGACCACCTGCTCCGACGACGATCTGCGCTACAGTTCGGTGACTATACGGCAACAGGTGAGCTCTCGCTCTACTGCTTTCTTAGTTTCTTTCTCCATGTGAATCTTAATCGTGATCATATTTCTTCTGGTGCAGATAAGATTTAAGATCCAAACGGTTTAGTTACCTTCACCTTGGTTTAACTGTTCAATAGTCGTTTCAGGCGTTGGTAATTTTGATTAGGGAACTTTCTCCCATCGTTTATATTGTTCAACTGGATTTTTGTCATTTCATTTTATGAGGTTTGTTTGTTTTGTTGAGGAAAAAGGGATAGAAAACTCTTTGAGAACGTTATATGTGATGTGCAGTAGTTTGAATCAGTTTGGTAGATCTATTGTTTTGTACTACATTAATTTCCATCAATTTTTAGGAATCAATTCCGAATTTATAGGATTGCCCATTTTCTTGAAGAACCACCCCGGGGGGAGGATAAAGGGGCTTAGCTATCAATTTTTAGGATGGCCACTTGTTAATTTGCATATGAGTATTTGCTTTAAATTTGGGCATTTTCAGTCTTGACGTGTTTATGTTCATTCTAGGCCTCAAAATTATAATTAGAAAATATACTAACTACAAGTTATTAATGCCATTCCAAAGTGTACGGAAACCTGAAACTATTCCTATAGAATGCACTAACTCAAGAGAATTGTCTATGCATCATTTGTCTGTCATGTTCGATGTGGCTGGTTGACTATGGGCTTATTGCATTTTGAAATAGGTGGTCATTTGTTACTTTAATAGGTTAAATTTTGTGGGACTTGGCTGTTGTATTCCAGCAATATGTGTGCATGGAGTGACTTTGGCTTTTCTTATTAAGTTTCTTGATATTGTTGGATGTACTTTTGCTTTGCAAGCATGAACCATAACCTGTTGAAATCTATTTATGGATTTGAAAATTATTTGGTGTTATATGGAAGGATGAACTGAAAAATTGACTTCATTTGTTCATTCAGAATATTTACATTTTTCTCTTTATCATTGTAATTGTTGGTTTTTCCATGATTATTTCTGGATTGAGATTGTATCTGCTGGTCATAATGCTCTATGACATTTGATTAGCTGTCCGAGTTGAATATCAAGTTATTAACTCATGTTCATACTTTAACTGAATTTTATTCTTTTGTTATGTGTTTGTGAAGGAGAAGCATTTGAACATCTGAATCATTGACAAAATGGTTACCTTTGAGATGAATGATCGAAAGAGTAAGTGGAATTTCATTGTTTTTTTTTTTTGGGTGTCAATGTTAAGTGAATTTGATATCTGTGCTGTCTCGGGACTTGTGGTCATAGAGCTTGCAATAGCCAATGGTTTAGCATTTACACATTACCTTGGGGAAGTGTAATGGAACTTTGATTTACATGGGAAAAGTTATCTAAATCCTGACCTAGATTGTTATGTAATTGTAATAAATAAGAAAATAATTAATATTTAATTAGGGCTTAAATAGATTTAGATATGATCTATGATTTAAAGAGAATTTAGATCGGATTTGATATTTAAATATATTGTTATTATATTAGTAGGTTTTGGATAGATTAGGATATATATTCATATGATAATAATGCCTATAAATAAGAGGCAATAGAGTACCTAATTTCAAACTTTGATTTCCAATGAGAATTACATATTGGGATTTGCTCTCTTTATCTCTCTCTTTCATTTCTCTATTTCCCCTCTCTCTTTTTCCAATCTAAATTCTATAACAGCTGATATAGAAAATAGGAAAGAAAGTAGAAGAGAGATAGAGAAGTAGAATAGAATTGGGAAAGAATGAGGAAGAACAGAAGAGATAGAGAGAACCAGAGAGAGAGAGAGAGACTAGAGAGACAGATTCTGAGCAATAGACTTCCATTATGTCAATGGGCTTCCTAATACTTATAGGAATGCTGAGTAAAATCATTAATCAAAAGACAACTAAATGACCTAACTAGCCTCAACAGTCAATAACCATCTAAATGGCATATGCTTTTATTATTTTTGTATCATAAATCTTTTGTTTTTATGATGTTTGTATTCCCAAATAACTGTAAATAGCTATCCTACAGAAATCTTAATATTCTTGCATTCAGAAGCATATTGATTTAGTATTAAGATTCTAGGATCTAATTGATCCTGTGACATTTTGGACTTCAGGCTTTTGTTTTCCCTGATTTTAAGGTTTATATCCTCTTGGGTCAAATGAAATGGAAAGAAAATCATAAAATCAGCTATATAAAGTCTCCTTTTTCCTAATTAGTTTGATTTTTTAGTTTTGACTTTATTTGTTGAAGACTGATGGTGAGATGTCATAGCATCAAATGTGTTTTTCTCAAAGAAGGCAAAGTTTTTAAAATTATGTGAAGTGGGATTTGACTCTTATCTTTCTTTTGGTTTTGTTTATTTAATTTTTTGTATGGGCCTGAACAAGTGAAGCATGATCTGTTGCCCCAATCAATTCAACATCCAACATGGCTTATAGCTTAAGCTACTCGGTTAGTGCTGTCACAAGCTCATAGGCCCTTCATTTTCTTGTCACTTTTAGATGTGGGACTTCCTTCAAGGTTTATATCCAACATTCCCCTTCTTAATTGGGTGGCTCACTCTTTTTTTGGTCATGTTCAGATATCATTTGCCTCAACACTTTGGTCTGGTTCTTCATTGTTCAATCCTTTCATTGGAATTGGAACTTTCATTAACTAGCCCATAATTTCTTAGTGGGTCTAGCTTCCAAATGTTCCTGCCAATTCTAATTACCTGGGCATATGTTCTCTGAGTTTTATAGGCTTCAGGTCAGAGCCTTTATTTATCCTCACTGCTTGGTCTTGTACTCTTGAACCTCAGTGGTCTAAAGTCCAACAATTTATTGTTTATTATGGGGCCCTGGATCTAGCAGGGGTTAGCTTTTGATTTTTATTTTTGATACTATGTTAGTATGGGCATGAAGTAAGGAAGTGAAGTCTGGTCTGTCATCACCATTTGTTTACCATCCAAAATGGGTTTTAGGGGTGCCACAAGCTTACAACTTATAAGCCTTTTTTTTATCTTATCACTTTTAGATGTGGGATTTCTTTCAAGGCTTATCTCTTTGTAATTTCTAGTGCATTTTGATATGTTAGTAAATGTATGTTTGATTGCATTACACTTATTCGTTACATGCACTTTTGGACGTGCACATTAAGTGTTATAGTTTAGAAGATTGGGTATTTTGATCTCAATCTGATCTAGTGATCTTTCAAGTTAATTTAGTACCTCAATCTTCACAAGCTTGTATGTGATTATATTCAATTGGCCTTTGCTTATGTTTTTTCTCTACATTCATATTTCTTAGATTTCTTGCTGGGTTAACATGAGGATTGGAAATGACCATGCATGAGTCCCAATTATACAAATATTTTATTTTTTTGTCATTGATGCTTTAGTTCAAAAAATGCTTTTACCTAATGCTGTCAACCATCGTCTATTTTCAACATTATTATAGTTACAAGGCTTGGTGTATGCCATGTGCATCGAGCAAGGGTACAGTTTACAGCCCCTTAGACCTCAGCTTAAATAAAAGCAGTGGGAAATAAGAGGAAAAGAAGAGGAGATAATTTCTGAACTAACTCTTATATGAATAAATTGACTACAGCAGACATCTCAGTTATTTCAACAACTTGATGATAACTGTTTACTTCTGTAGCCAATAATGACGAATGTGGTGGGTTTCAAGACAGCAATTCCAGAAATAGATACAGAGATGAATTCCAATATAAACGACTTCTAGTCAGCTTTGGCCCATCCGAATGCAATTATGCTAGAATGGTTTTAGTAATGTTTACATAATATGATTGACATTCATCATTTAGAAGTTACTGAAGCATATGAGGATCTATCTGCAAATATGCCCATGAACTAAATGCTCATTGTGTATATATAGGTATTTCAGGGCTTCATATTGATTTTCTACAAGTTCTTGGAGGCAGAAAACTGTTCAGATTTATTCGCTTTAGAATGATTGAAGGATAACTTCGAATTATTTTTGAAGCATACACTAGGACCAATGTTTTTGTTCTTTCTTCTTTGCTGGTTGAAGTATATGATATTATCTGTACATTAGTTATTTTTCTACTTTGTTTAGCTGGTATTACATCAGTTTCACATGTAGAATTTTTACAATTCTAACATTTATGCCATTTGATGTATGAAATTGGCACATGAAACAGAGATTGGATTAGGGTTAACTGGCTTTGGTGTATTTTTTTCGTTCCTTGGGATTGTTTTCTTCTTTGACAAGGGACTACTTGCCATGGGAAATGTGAGTTTCCTGATATTACAAGTTTCTCGTTTATGTTGATCTCTTTTCTTTTGTTTAGTGATGCCTTTTCTAATGCTTTGTTATTTTTTGTAACTCAAATTAGATCCTCTTTATTTCTGGTGTGTCCTTAACCATTGGACTAAAATCAACTTTGCAATTCTTCATGAAACGGAGTAATTTCAAGGTACTTATCTGTTGTAATTGCCTATCTTCCCTTAGTGTTTCTTGCCCGCTTCATGGAATTTTTTTATCCTTTCCTATGAATTTTGTTTTGCTGATTTTGCAGGGAACAATTTCATTTGGTACTGGATTCTTTATTCTCATATTCGGGTGGCCTATTCTGGGCATGATTTTGGAGGCTTATGGGTTCATAGTACTCTTCAGGTTTGCTGGAATTTGAAAGAAACTTTATGCTGTAATGAGTTTGTTTGCATGCTTAAAGCTAATGATTGATGATTGATTACACTTTGCAGTGGTTTCTGGCCTACATTAGCTGTCTTCTTGCAAAAGATTCCCATTCTTGGTTGGTTGCTTCAACAACCATTTGTTAGATCGGTATGTTTATGTGGTGAAGTGTCTTATCATTTTTAAGCCTGCATAGAAGTATTTTGTTATGACACTGTATTGTTGATGTTATACTGTTATCGTGTATGGGTGTTACTTTGACAATCATGGCCTTATCATAAAACTCACATAGAAATATATAGTTGCCATAGATTAAAGTAAGTATCTTAATTTCCATTCAAAGTAATGACTTAGACCTCAAATTTGAAAAACAAGTTAACCCTCTAGTTTCACAATATTGGAGCTGGAGATCTCAAGTTTGCCATTACTTCTGTGATAAGAATTCAATTAAGAAAACTTTGTGGTTGGTCATTTGTCATGACTTCTTGTCGTTGGTCTTTTGTTAGCACCAAAGCGATTAGTTTTGTCAGCGTAATTAGTTGTTGTCCAGTGTGCTCGCTCTTCACAATGTTCGAGTCAGTGAACCATATGGGGTCAGATAATATTTATGTAGGATTCATCTTTGGAAACTTCTGCTGCCAAGCTGAAGTTCCTCACGACACAGGAAGCTAAATATGCTTTCCTGTTTTACTAAGCTTGCCACTTCCTCACGCTACAGGAAGCTAAAATATGCTTTCCTCATGACGATCCTTTTTTTTGCTAGTGTTATACCATTTTTGTCTTGATTGCAGAAACCAGAAGAAAACTATGATGTTAATAATTGTCAGAACTTTTAAGTGTGTATAGATTGTTGAATGATATGTGAATGTGGAAGTTTTTCCACAATATGACATCAAGTTGAGACCTTTGGATTTTCGTGCATGATGTTTGTATTGTTCTTACTGAGGTTTCTCATTTTCTGTCAACTTCCAGTTGTTTGATCGCTACCGAGGCAGACGAGTGCCAGTGTAAGACAGGATCCTCTTAATCATAATGTAGCAGCGAGTAAGTGCACTTGTAATTGAATGTAAAGAAAATACACTGAAGGAGGCCTAACTCTTTAAGTACGCACCATGATGGAAGAAAATGATTGTCACTTCTATGATAATAGTGCAAACAAAGGAAATAGAGAGAAAGAAGTTTTGGTTTTGGTTTTGCTAGTTTCCTTGTTCGGGTCTCTCCTTTTGTATTTCATGCCTAGTTGGAAATTGAATTCATTTGATCAGGTCAGTTGCCAGATGTGCGACTCCTATTACCATACCATTTCAACTGGACAAACTTTGGGAAGCATCTAATTTGTACGCAGTATTCTATTGGCATTTGTATTGCATTCATTATAGGAATATAACGACGAATTTAAATGTTTTCATGTGAAACTTACTGTACTAGTTGGTATTGCCCGTCAAATGGTAAAATCAATAAGGATGTTGTTACATTCATATTACACTTTCAAGTTCCAACTGCGACAAAGTCTTTGTTAGGAACAATGATGAATTCATGCAATACCTTGTTCATTACGGCTAGTCTTGTCCAAAATATCGGGTATGATTGGACAAATTTCGAGTAAACTTCTGATTCTGATACTTGGAATCTTATAATTTTTATGGACAAAGTCCCAAACGGTGTGTTTGTGTGTGTGTGTGTGTGTGTGTTTTTTTTTTTTTTGGGTGATACAATTAAATGGATATAACAAAGGGGCCAACACGTTCTCTTACAGCTGATTTGATAGCGTATGATATGATATTCCACATGACTGTCTCAAGATAAAAATTTGTTTTGATGGCTTAATTAAGAGCCTGCTCTTAGCGTATCCGATTGGCCATGTTGACTTAGTGCGAGAATTGCAAGAATAAACTTCAATCGCATAACTAATGACAGCGCCATATATATATTTGAAGTTGTACAAGTATATTAGAAAAAAATAAAACTTGATCCGATTGATTGATAGAAAGAAATAGAATGAGTTAATGGAAAATAAAATAGATTAAAATAAAATTATGAATTTGATAGAAATGAGAACTGGCAAGAATAGTAATAAATTCCTGTTTCTCTGTGTCACTCCATGGCCCTAATATCTGTCATTCGCACTCTTCTATAAATCTATGATCTTATTTTAAATTATTTTATTCTCTATCAATTTATTTCATTTCTTTCTAACAATCAATCGGCTGTTGTTTATTTTTCTTGTTGGAAAACCTTTTTTCATAGCGAGTGCCTCCTGCGTTAAAGATTAATATTCATAGCATGTTAGCCTTTGTTTTCTTTGACATAGATAACCTGTCCATTATTTTCAGGCCTGCTTGCTCGTTTCTAAACTATAGGCCTGTTTGGATTCTCATTTCATTTGGAATAAATTCTGGAAGTGGAATCAAAACCAGAGTTTTGCAAATACTAATCCCAACATTCTCAATTTTGCATAACCCCATATAACTTGTGAAACTTCTTTTTGAAGGTGGTTCAAGCCTATTTGGATGCACACCCAAAATCAATTTTGGATCCAAAAATCATAGTTTCGAAAAATCTTATAACAATCTTGATTTTCCTTTTAAAACTTCATCTGATATAAACTATTTTTCTTCTCTATTAGAGAATCAATTCTCAACATTTTTCATTTTCCACCATTTTTATAATTGATTTTTTAAAAAAATCCAAACATTTTCAATTATCAAAATCAATTTTAAAAAACTATTATCTATACATCATCATGTTTTGTTAATCAATTTTTTCTATAATTAATTTTTGTCAATTGAAATCCACACACTGATATGTGGATGAAACGGATTAAAAATCCATCTCAAGAAAATATTCTAAATTATAGTCAAATCAATGCCTGAGTTTAACCTATTAGCTTGAAATTGGTCTTGAAATAGTATTAGAATCTCAGCACATAAGTGATCAAAAGGCCACAATTTTCATGATTTTGCAACATCGCAGATAAGCAAAATGAGACTTACCAACTCCAAGATAAGTGGGGTCACCTAGTCATTGGATCCTTGTTGACAACCCAATGGCTTAACAAATACGTTCAGACAACTACACAAACTATGTACAAAGAAATCTGCTGCAACTTGAGTGAAAATTTACTCACAATAGATGTTTCATTCAATAAGATGCCACCCAACAAATAATTACACCAACCTCCAACCCCTTTCCCTAATGATACAAGGAATTAATAAGAAAAGAAATAAACTAACAATAAAGAGTAATAGCCTGATGACCAAGAGAAAAAGGTTTCCTCATCCAAACACCAATGTCCTTTTCACTAGCCAAAGAGAAAAAACGAAAACAGAACAAGAAATATGAGACACAGGACCACAAATAATAAACATGTACGCAGAGTCAGAATATACAAAAAAGGTCAGCACAATTCTTCCCAGATGATTTGATGAAGCATCAATTTGACAGGTCTACTCCATGACAGTGATGATGCAATGAAGACATCTGGGGAAGTTGTCTAACCATAGTTCAAGTCAAGGTTATGGAGCTGTTCCATCAACTGAGAACGCCTTTCCTTGAAGAAATCAAGACGTGTAGTTAATTCTACCAAGGTTGAGGATGCAACAGATGGATGTCTTCCGTATTCCATAACCTGGAAACGAAATCATCGACATTACCATTTGTAAGCAGAAAAATATCTAGCAGGTTGTATTATTGGGTAATGGTTTCCATGACCAGAACACTTACCAAGAATTTCTTTTTTTGTTTTTTGTTTTTTGTTTTTCTTTGTTTTTGAAGTACAAAAGAGAGATTCATTATAGTTACAAATCCCATTCAATGAAGACGTTAAATCAATAAAATTTGGGTTGGTCTCTGTATTTTGATTTTGTTTTGTTTTTAGTCCCAAAACTAACGGAGTTAATTTTGTTGCAACTATACTAACTCCTTTGCTCACATAGTAAAAATATACTAACATGGAAATAGTCAAATAGATATGATTAAAGATAAAAGGCAAGGGGGCAAAAAAACTTTCTTGTGCATGTAGATCAAACAGAATGTGGGAGACGAAGACAAGATTAAGTATATGTCAAAAATGGGTTAAACAGATTTAAATATACATCAGCAAAATTAATTCCATTGATGCCAACTAATAGTCCTTTTGTCCGCTTTTAAAACTATAGGACTAACATTGTAGACAGATCAAACTAAAGCAATTGAGAACAATGAAATAAAACCATAGGGACTAAAAACAAAACACAATCAAAATATAGAAACCTACTTTGTATTTTCCCTAAAATTTGCAACGGTCATATTTGCTGAATCTTTAACTCTTACCTCTGCTGCTCTTGATGTGGAGGGTAATGAGGTAGAATCAACAGCGCAGAGCTCATCGACAGACATGCTTGTTGATGCCTCAGTACTTTTAGAATCACATGGACTAGTTGAGTCTACCGGTTGCTTCCAAGAAGGCTGCTTACAACCATTACTGGATGCCAATGCTTGTCCTTTTACAGCTCTCAATTCTGCACCGAACAAATTCTCCTGTTGAAATGAAATCAAGGTTCTAACATTAGTTGCTTCAATGTGAGCACTCAAAACAATTAAAATAAGTTAATGAGCTAAGAGCAATGGAGCAGTGAATGGCATAAATTCCTGTCTTTAAAAAATTGAAGACCATTAATGTCTCACTGAATATAGCATGGGGATATGTGCCACGTGGATTTTTCCATGTTAATGAAATTATTCTAATCTTATTGGACTAGAAAGAGGAAGAACTATGTACCATTACTAATCTCAACTCAGTTGAAATAAGGTTTGGATAATAAACTTTATGTCTAGTTACTAACTTGTTAGCCTCAAAGCGAAATTGTCCATTAAGGGCAAGCACAGCTTAACAGTTAATTTCATAAAATAATCAAAAAATAGTTGATGATGTAAATTGAGATCCTTTACAATTTGAGTAAATTGAACTAGATATTCCTATATTGCAGCTTCATAATTTGACCAAAAATTGGGAGAATGGCAGAAGGGCCTCCAGAGAAGAAAATAACAATGAGGGCCCCATACATTTGAAGGTTCATCTATGCACAACAAAAGGTTCATCGATTCACTTGTGCATAAATTAACCTCCAGTTGTGCAGGGCCCTCATTGCTTTTTTTCTCCTCTGGGAGACCTCACTACCATCGTCCCAGTAATAATTTTTCTTCTTCCATTAAAAATCAGAGGGTGGTGATGGAAAACAAGCTGTTATTTTTTCCATAAACAAGATAACTTACGGCCAATTCTAGTTGAATGATTAACCTCAGCTGTCACAAATAAGTTACATTGTATGAGGAATGGAACAAAGGTATTATTCACACTAACAAAAAAGTTGACTAGAGAAAGATAGACTAGAAAATGTTTTAGGTAAGAAAAAGGAATGGAGCGATAGAATGGAAGAATATAAATTAAGAGGAAAAGCAATTGATCAGGCATGCATACTCCGTGCTTCTTTTTTTTTTTTTTTTGCCAAAAACATATTTTGAATGTTATGAAACATACCTCAGCCCTTTGTTTCCTTTCATTATTACAAAAGGCAAGGGTTGTATCAAAATCTTGCTGAAGAAATCTCCTGCATGAGTCAGACATGTAATTACAAAAGGATGTGGTAACTAACTAGTTTATATAGTTTTCATTTATAGAGAACCAAGAGAAACTGCAGCAGGAGACTAGATTTCAGTCGAGAAATGACAGATTCAATTAGAAAAAGCGCCATGAGATTTAACCCATGTTTTTTTTTTTTTTTGGCCGAGGGATTTAACCCATGCTGGCAAGTGAAGTAAACAAAGAAGCATTTCATGAGAAACCAAGAAAGCTCAAATAATTCAACAAAACAAGAAAAGGAGTCAATGTTTTATTCCTCTTTCCCCTTTTTTCAAGCAATTTTTTCTGATACGAAGTGCAACATTTCCAGTATCAATGCCATGAGTTAACAGTGGCTATTGCCAAGTTCATGTGCAACTGAAACTAATTTAAAGTTCCTCAGCAAATTCAGCTAACAATATCTCCACCAGAAAAAAAAAAAAACTTGGGAAATAGAATCCTGTCGTACAATGTTTTTTTTTTTTTTGTCAACATGGAGTTGGAAAAAGCTGGGTTCAGACATTATTCAATTCAGTTAATTTCTCATCATAGTCAGCAATAGTAAGCAAACTTCAAAGTTAGCACAACTCTAAATACTTACTGCTGAGGAGGATTTTGGATGTGTTGGTATCGCTCAGATGCATCAAGCAGCGAACCATAGTGATGCTGTCTTTGCTGATTCAGCTGATGGTGGAGTTCTGCAACTTTCTGCTTCAACCTGGCCACGTCAGCTTCAGCAAGTGCAATCTCCTCAAGTTCAGCTCTTGTCTTTACATAAATAAATTTGATAAGATTATGTGTACTGAAAATGTAATTAAACAGAAAAAGTAGTAACATCTGCATTAAATTTCCAAACCTTGGAATCCATTCCACGTGAGCCTGAAAACTGTCCTGAAGATATGCTCAAACCAACTTCTAATGCAGCTCTAAGATCCCTCTCAGCTTGCAACTGCTCTTGCAATCTTGAAACCTTTATTGTCACAATCAATCAGATCTTACATGGATAAAAAACAAGAAACACGTAGTAGTATGCATCCACAGAAAACAAAAAAGAAAGGAAGGCTCAAAATGACAGCATGATGGTGGGAGAAAACAGGAAATAGAAATAGGAAGAAATCAAAAGAAGGATATGGGGAAAAAAATAAGCAGTTGCAGGTGACTCTGATAGGGACTAGGTAGCATGGGATCCCTGTTGAGGGGGAAGAACCACTTTCATTGAGAACCATAAACAAACATTTCAAACTACTCGTAATGAGACTTAGGCATCCCATATTGCCTAATCTCTGACAAACTCCCTTAATGAAGAGCAAAATTGGAGAATAAAGAAATTGGTTAGGAAAAGAAAATAAAAGACTAGATTCTTAAGGTAAGTATAGAACTTCCATCTATCCTGCATTCCTGCCAAAAGTGATTTCTACAGAAGGGGGAACGAGGACTAGAACAAATTTGGACAAATAAGTAGCACACCGGAACTTTACTAAACAAAAAAGACAGATTTTGTCAGAAAAGTCAAGGGCATCAAACATATGCCAGCAAAGCGCAGAAAAGCCAGCACAAATCATACTAAAGCAGTCAAAATTCACCAGACAGCATAGATATATCAGTGGAGAAGAGTACATCTTGTTCAAGTGCCAAACGCCGCTCATGCAAAGCTTGCTTTCTTCTCTCTAAGCTTGCTTGTAAAATTGCATTTCCTCTAGCCTAAATAAAAACATGACCAAGTCCATAAATTAATAACACACATTCGATAATCTATATTTCTGGCATAAATGAGTTAAACAATAGTAATATACCTCCTTTGCAATTCTGTGTTGCAAATCACTTTTTGCAATCTCTAGTCTTTGAATAGCAAGCCTACAGACAAATAGATAAGAAAGCAACATTTATATGTCTATTTCTTTCTAGGAGGAAAAAAAGAGAGAACTGAAGCAAGTCATTTTTTGCAATCTCTGGTCTTTGAAAAGAGCAAGCCTACAATCAAATAGAAAAGAAATAAATATTTATGTCTATTTCTTTCCAGGAGAAAAGGAGAGAACGTGTATGAAGCAAATCACAAAATATACTTCTATAGCTTCAGAAAAAGCCAACAAGACATGCAACCAGTCCACAATCCTACCAGGTTGTGGGGACGGAGACAGGAGAAAAATTACTGTGAATTTGGGGAAAAAAACATACTAATGCCATAGTCCAAGGAGAGCGAGTAACCACTATAAAGAAACAGCAACAATAACAATATCAATCAACCAAAAAGAGGCCCTAAAAGCCAAGGATTTGATTGTGTTAAATCTGGAAAGTGGCACACATTATAAGCTTTTCACTCTGCAGTAAAAATAAACATAAAAATCTTGCTGGATAGCATTTTCTATTTAAAAAATAATAAAACAATAACCATAAGCTTCTTACTCTTCTTCTCCAGAAGAATCAACAGACTCCACTGAGGGTGTCCTTTTCACCTGCATAAATCATCAGATCACATTAACAGATGCATAGAACATCAAGTTTAAGGACACAATTACACAAAATGCATAGGAAATTGTACAGTGGCATTGTTGCACTCGTGAAATTAATTTATATCAGCTGCTGCCATATCAAGTTGACATGTTTAAATTGACAACTCATTTAAATTTATTATGACATGACTATATGTGAAGTATAGATTGCATTCGATTAAATATAACATAATAACATCATCCCATGATTTAGCTTCTAAAACTGTGAACATTTTGTAGTATAGTCTAGATTAGCAGTTTAAAGATATAGAATTCTTATATATTGTAGATAAGATGTTCTAAATAGTCAGATCTTTAGATAAAGCACCATAAACAAAATAATGAGATAAAGAATAAAATGATGATATTGACAACATAATGCAGAACAAAACAGAAATATAGAGGAAAAGGGGGAGAAGGAGAAATAGGAGGGAGATGTAGAAAGAAATAGAGGGGGAGGAGCCCCCAAAAAAAAAAAAAAAATTCAATGATCAATAAAAGGCTAACTGACCCAAGTAGGCCTTCATAAAGAGCCCAAGAGATAATTCCTAACAAGATAAAATATGATAAAAAAAAAAGACAATTTACAAAAGGATATCACATAACAGAAGAACAATTAAATCCAAAATAAAACTAATTAAATAATTTCTAGTTCCCATCTTTATACCAAACCCCTATTACAAATATTATTAACATCACGCCTAAGATTCTTTTCCCAGATTTCCTTACAGTGACCAGCCATAAATTTGACTGCTGCATAATATGCAGTAGTAGCTCTGAAATAGGAAATAGGAGCTACTTTTGTTAATCATTTATGCATTACAATTGTACTCCATGAAGTCAACTGCTGCATGATTTGCCAGATTTCATTTATAAAATTGCTCACCTGCCAAGTACGTTAGGTTTGGAGCTACTTTTTTTTTGGGGGGGGGGGGGTTTAGCACCTTTGATTGAAGCCTAACACAAGAATCTCTACAAATTTTCTGTCTTCACCTTTTTTGTTAGTAAAACTAGCCTCACAGCTTCAGACTACAACAATAAGAAGAAATCTAATCCCATTAGGCATGATTAGTTACATGGATTGAATGATGTCATTGTGCTCAATCAACAATCAAATCTTTGGATATGTTAAGTAACCAAAAGGCCTCATTTAATATCTTCATTGAGTATTCTCTTAGATCTTCTTATGCCCCTCTTTGCAAGACTTAAAACTATCTAATTCACCCTCCTCACCAGCACCTCCTATGGCCTTCCTTGTACATGTTTAAACCATCTCAAATGATTTTCTACCTTTTATCCTTAATATATGCCACAACAACTCTTCCTCATATATAATCATTATGAATCTTATCTTTTCTTGTATGCTTACACATCCATTTCACATCTTCATCTCCACTACGCCAACTTTATGTTCTTGTCACTCTAACACATCACATAACGAGTTTTATAACAGTTGGATAAAACTTCCTTTTAAGCTTTTTAGATACTTCTCAGTCATAAATAGTTCCTGTAGCCTTTCTCCATTTGAATCACCTTGCTTGTATGCTATGTGCAACATCCCCATCAATTTCACCATCATTTTTGTATAATTGCTCCAAATATCTAAACTTTGCCACTTGTGGTATGATCTGATCCCTAATTTTAGCCTCCAAATTATTGCTACCTACTCTCTTATCAAATTTGCAGTGCATTTATATTCCATCCTTTTGGATCCTTAACAGTCTAAAAATTCACAACCTTTTTAAGGGGTTCACCATGTCAAGAATGCAGTGCAAATCAGAGGCTTTATTTCATTAATGTGTTTTTTATGTTCCTATAGTGTTTTTTGTTTGAGGATGACATTCCTATACAACTGCATGTTGTTTGAACTCCTGGAAAAATTTCCTCGTTTTGCTTAGAAAAAAGGGGTAACATGAACAGGGAGTTGTGTTCAATCTGTAATGAGTTAAGGAATTATTATTTGAGGCTTTGGTTTATTAAAGTTTCCTGTGAAGATTAGGAACACCTGATAATCATGTTAAGATTTATTATCCTAGTAGCATTAAGTGGATACACAGGTTATTATGTATCCAATTTAAAGACATAAACGGTGATTGGTTACTTTGAAATATTTGAGCTATACCATCTCTACCTTCGCTCCCCTACACTCCTCTTTGATCAACATTTACCTTCTGAAATATGAAAAATGATAGAAATTAAAGAACAGTGCAAGACAGTGCACACAGCCCATATTGGTAAGTTGTTAAGAGCAGCGATGGTCAGGGAAACAAAAAAACAAAAAAACAAAAAATAACTCACATTGCTCCTTCCCCAGAATGCTGATCGTTTAGAACTGACATTGGTGTTACTAGATCTACCAGTTTGCTTCCCAGAACCTGGTTCATTTCCAGGCACAGAAAAGTGATTACCAGGATCCATTGAAGATAATATTTCACCCATAGAACGATAAGACTCAGGGCCAGGCAACATATTTGTAGCATCCTTCTCATCAGCTGAATTTTCGTTTCCCTTCTGCTTGTTTGGATCTGTAGAATGTTTGGCATCAGTATCAGCATTGGAATTTGCAATCTCAGCCTTAGCATGGTAACCATTGGAGGATCCAGCATCAGAATCGTCACCACCAAATACCTGCTGATAAAAAGAGAAGGCTGATGATTACGGTATGATTATTCTCCACACCTCAGTCATTTCATCTTGATTAAAAATACTAATCAAAGCATTTAATTTGAATCATGACCAGGAAAAAAATGGAAGCTTGAAATTCTTTAAATATTATTCCCCTCTTTTGTACTTTATTTAAGAAGAATGAGTTCGAAGGAAAATAGTGATAATAAATAGGGGGACTAAATGAGAGAGAACCTTGTAATCGTACAGATCACTGCCAGCATAACCACTACTTTCACTCATTTTTCCACTTTGCACACGAACAGCATCATCATCTGTCTCTTGATCAACTTCATTCTCTGCATCATGGTAACCATTGTCTTTCACATCGACATTATTATCGTCAGTGGAATCCTCAGTCTCACTGTTTTCAACCCTAGAGTCTGCCGAAATGGAGCATCTCTGTATAATTTCATCCTGAAACAACAGCAAGAAGCTAAGCGCCTGATTCAAATTGGAAAATATATATATATATATATATTAAACAGGCACTAGGTTAGCAAATTTAAATTTTTATCAATTCAAATTACGATCTGATCTTAAAAATGCAATAACAACACGCAGTCACACGCTAGTATTGAAGATAAACAAACCCTAAGGCTATCAATCACCATTTCTTTTTAACAAGCAATAAAAGGTTGACTGAGAGTATCTTACATAAAAAATACTATCATACTCTTCCAACAAAGTCGTAATGATTGCTTGAGCATTATTAGCAGCATTAGCAGCTGCAAGAAGCTGAGCTGAACTATCACCACTAGTATCAAATTCATCCTCCAGTTCACATTCTCCAGCTAGTAAAGGTCTTAAGAGCAATGGTGCCATGCAAGCAGCAATAGCAGATGGAGTCATTCGGTTCTCAAGAGAATAAGAAGCAATTTTATGCATCATCTTCAGAATTCTGCATAGGTAGAGATATCAACATTTATTACATTCCAAGACATGTCATTATTAACATTTAAATATTTTAATAAACAACAATTATTTTATCTCTCAAGGGACATCACAATGAATAACCAACAAGTAGTATTTCTAGTTCATTTCTTATAAATGACACGTTACATGAAAATCAGTGATTTACTAGGAATGACTGTTGGTTAGGACTTAGGAAGCTCCTATTAGTTAGTATAAATAGGAGGAGGTGTTAATGTAATGAGCATCTAATGAATGAATAATACTCTTTACACTCACAATGGAATAATGATTGACCTCCAGAGAAAAATTAAGAAGCTTTCTCCTCAGATCCAGTTGTTTTAACAATTCTACCATTGTCTTTAATCAATATCAATATAAGCTTATAAATTCAAGACAGTATTCTTCTGAAAATTTCCAAAACCTAAAATAATAATCTCTCAGATGGAATTACAAATTTGGCACACAATAGAATGACATCATGCACATGGATATTTGTGGAACATATCATCAATCAGAGTCTAGAGGGGAGCCACAAAAGCGAGGGTTACCTCTGTAATAAACGTCGATTAGGCTCTGGAAAGGTTTCCAGTATAGCAGAGCGCATCGCGCTGATCCTAGCTTCCCTCCTATCAATTTCTTGCCAAGTAAAAAAGTACAGAACATCATTAGTGTTACATGTAAAATGTAAAGGTGGTATTATTCAACCAACAGACACATTCTACATACCTCCTATTCATACTAATAGGAGAGTCCCCTCATACCTCCTATTCATGTCCCTTTACTGCCTAACATCACTATCATATAACATTGCTTTGCTAGTCTTATAGCCGTTCAACAAAACTTCTCTTTTAATTTATTTAGTATCTTCTGATCACAAAGAACCCCCAATACCCTTCTCCATTTTAACCATCCAGCTTGTATTCTATGTATGACATCCCTATCAATTTGTATGATTGATCCTAGATAGCTGAACTTTGTCACTTGTGGTATGAATGAATCCCCAATTTTTACCTCCAGATCATTTCTAACTTGCCACTTATTGAACTTACAATGCATATATTCTGAGTTTAAGATCTGGTTTTTCACAAAATCATTTGCATTCCAAACACAGCATAATTCAGTGCTTCTAGATTTGCAACAAACAACATTGCATGTCACCATGTGGCATTTTCTCACTAGATCAGAAGTATCTGCATCTTCTCATATGTATTATATCATGAATTCAATAAACAAATTTGAAATACTTGTATACAAATTCGAACATAAGACCTAATGCATTGATCAGCAATTATCAACAAAATTGGATGATCCATTCAAATTTTCAAGCATTCTTGACATGAAAGAGAAACAATATTCAAAATGTAAAACTATCCAGTACAACAAAAAATGAGAAAAATAATAAAAATTTTGATGCAAAACAGTGAAGGAATGGGAAGGAGAAAATGGAGAAAGATTCGGAGGATGATAGAAATTTAGGGGACGATACAGTGTTGAGGGAAAGGTATAATAATGACAAAATTCTCAATCTTTATTCAGGTCACAAGAAAGTCTAACATCAAAATAACCTTAGCACTATTTATGAAGCCCAATATAATCTATTATCTATATCTATATATAATACAAAAAACTCTAACAACTACTGTTCATGAGCCATGAACAGTGTGATTCATTTTTTAGACTCCATGCAATGTAACTCATACTAGCTATTCAAATGACAATAATCTAAACCTAATATAATCCTAAAACATAAGATAAAAGATAAATTCTATCCTAATTTGAAATTCAAAATAAATTAAATCCTGAGTTTTAAAATGAGGATAATGACAATTCTAACTAGGTTTTTCCATATATTTCTAGCATCACATTTTTTAATGTATTAAAATCCTTTCTCAATTCAAGTTTCATACAAAGCATTCAGGATTTTAGAAGAACACATGGCATCTATTGTTAAAAGCATGGCAAGAAAAGAAATAAAGCACAAAACAAAACTTACTATAAGCCTCTAACAAAGCAGTGCAGCATGATGCTGGAACTGGAGATGAAGGTAGCTCCCTTAATACATGCTGTGAATAAAGCAAGAAAGTTACGATACAAAATGCTTAAAAAACAGACTTTTTTCATAGTCCAGGATTCATATTTTATCAGTTGAATAAAAAAATACTAACTATTTCCTGATTAAATTCATTAACCCTCAAAGTTAATGAAATGATGCACGATTGATCTACAGCCTCAAGTTAGTAAGGACCGAAAACTAATTGAGAAGCAATAGGCCAAATATCTGAATAGTTCACGTAGTTAATGAACTTATTAAGTGTTTGGACAGGGGAAAGGGTAAGGAAAAAACAGCTGAGGAAAATCGTACATTCAGCAATTAAGACTTACTAAATAAATTCCAGTTGTTTAGCAGTTCTTTATGGTCTACTATATGCTACTTCAAGAAGTTTTTGGAACCTTAGGGCACACAACACAATTTTTATATTGATGTCATTGTCTGCTCTTGCTTTTACAGTTTCTGTCACATGCCCTTCTGTGGTGCTTGAGATAAATATCTTAGGCTTTGTAATCTTCTTTGACTCTAATTAAATTTCTTCTTTCATTTAAAAAGGGAAAGAAAAAGAAGTCCTCACAAACTTAAAATCTCCTATACAAAAAATTGACCCTACTAAATTCAATTTTCATGGTTGAGGGATTTGTAGCTTACATAACATTCACAGGCAATCCTACAGCACATGTAGAATATTACATAGTATGCTACAGTGTGTTCAACAAATAATTTGGTTCTGCATTCATGTACTTAAACTGGATAAAAATTCAATCAGCAAAAGAGATTTTTCTCCTCAATGCTATAGTATGTTCACACACAATTTGGTTCAGATTACATTTACTTAAGCTAATAAAATCAACAAAATATAAATACCTTAACACAGTCACCAATAACATGAGCATCCTCATCAGAAGAAAATTCATTCTTGCCTGAAAAAATGAGTAAAAATAAGGAATTTGGAATCCATGCTTGAAAAGAAAAATAAAAATAACTAAGAATCTAAGGTCGAATAGCATTTTTGCTGGTCTTTCATCTGCAACAAGGTTGAACCACGGAAAAAACCTCAAATGGTGATTCTGATTTGGCTATACATACACCAACAGGATCAACAGGCAGTGAACCATTATTAGTACCTTGCTCATATTCTTGAACTCTCCGATCTACCTCCTCAACATCTGCAGATTGCCGCAAAATTCCTTCAACTTTAGTTCCTGCAAAAAGACATGATAAAATGAACAAAACCTCTTAACTAAAGAATAAGTATAACACGTTCCATGCATTATAATTCTTTTGCCCTCCATTGTACAATTGGATGTATTTCCAATATGCTTAGCAACACAAAGTGAAAGGCATTTAAAACTTAAAGCAAATCAAATGATAAACAATTCAAAGTTATAAGCTGAGGCACAACTGTAAGGATTTAGATGTAGACCAACAACAAAATTAAGAACTGCGTTTCACAACCCCATTCAAGAAAGCCCAACTCAATTCTGTCAACACAAATCTGAACAAATTATTGTAAAACAATATAGTTTCTACTTTCTAGCCAACAAACCTCATATTGTGCAGACAACTCGTGCAATTTAAAAAAAAAATGGTTGACAAACTCAAGTTTCTTAATAACCAGGTGGTTAAATTTTATTTTTTTTTCAATCAAGAGACCTGAAATAATGACTAAAAGCTGAACTAACTGATGAATTTTTACCTTGAATTACAGATTGCAAACTGTTATTATGTTGCTGACATAAAAAAAGCCTTGACTTCTGTCTTAACTATCAATGCAAGCATTGACTAAAATAATTTAAAGTTAAACTCATGACTTCTTTCATTGAATCTCCTTGTTAGACATGCAGAGAAACTTGATATCTTGCGTGCTCTATTATTTTGACATCCTTTTTTTTTTCCAAATAAAAATGTCTATTATTGTAGCTTTCCTAGGGTTAACACCTTATTTTCTCCTCCCAGTAGAATTCCACTAATATCAAAAGAATGTCTTAAAATGTCAAACTCATCCCATAACGCACAGGAAGCTACTTAGTTTATGTTTTCTTCTGTTTATCAAGCATAACATTAGCGTAAATTTAAGTTGATAACATAAAACTGGAAATATGGTAATTGGCAAATGAAGATGTTTGCACACACGCACAACTCTCAGACACATTATGGCAGCCCCTCTCCTCTTTACCTATGGTAATAAAAAGATAGAGATCAACTAGAACATAAACTTACAATGAACAACACATAATTAAGACTCCTACTCCTAGCAAACTCTCAGACTCCAAACAATGATAAACTTGAAAATTAACCCTCTCCGAAAAACTCTCCCTGGAAAAAGCGCGGCAGAAAAAAAAAATGGAAATGCGCAAATGAAAATTGAGGCTCTCATTATTAATCAGACGCTCCAATGCCATGTGAAATGAAGTGATGATTTCTTGTAGATCACAGTGAGCGTATTTATAATAATAAGAGGCTCCAGCACAATTAATACTAATAAATACATACATTGGAAAATCCCTACAAATCTGCCTATGTAATGATTCTATACTCATTGTAAATAATTTCTTTAATTACATGAATATTCTCTAGCAATAAATCTATCTACATTAGGACACCTAGACACCTCATCCAATTTAATAGTTGAATAATATCTACACTAGGACATTTAGACATTGCACTGTACTTCAAGAATTTCACAGCAACTAATAATTCATCTACTGACATCCTTTGTACACATAGCTCTCAGAATTCTTGACTTGCTTCCCTTGAGCTGCCTCCTAGACATTCTCCCCGTCATACTCCTTGGCTACATCTAATCACAACAACACAATAACACAACTACCAGATATCTTCAAGCTACTTCTCTTGAGTAGTCTGCTTGACCTTCTTTAGCTAATCTTCACTACTTGAATACCCATGAATCTTGAATGAGCATAGGCTAGAGCTATTACAGAGAAGGGAGGATTATAGCTGCCTTTTGGGGAGTTAATAAGAGCTCCAACCCTAAAAAACACTCAAGTAATTACACATAATCATACACATATACCTGCTCCCCTATTAGTTTTCGCTTTTAAACAAACCACATACGAAGGGGATAAATACATATCTCCAAATGATTACACAGGGAACAATAGGTGAAAAGAAATGCATTTGCACCACAAGGTTATGGCAATCAAGCCCTATTTTAAAATCATAACTTACCATGCTTCTCTAAAAACTGAAGAGCTTTTTCAAGGAAGGATGGACCACCGTCAATATCTTCAAGTGCAAGTAGAATTGGTCTTCCAACAACCAATGACTTAACTGGACGCTTATCTCTCCCTAAAGGCACAATATAAATTCAAGTGACAATAAGAATGACAACAACCTTGACAAAACAACAAATAAAATAGTATAAAAAATAAAAAAACAATCAAAACCAACAAAGAAAAACACAGGGAAGAACAACCAACATGATTATAGAAATCAGTTATTACTTTAAAAAAAAGAAAAAAATGTAATGAAGAATTAGAACAAACATTGATGGAAAGACCCTTCAACAGAATCACTCGCATCACTACGAAAGATCCCATTTTGTCCCATGACAAGAGCAGCACTTGGTGCTTGAGCAAGAGCTTCCTCAAGTGCTGTCTTCCATTCATACAAGTCTTCTGATGTCTCAGCCTGATGTTTGACAAGAGAATGGTGGAGAAATTTATATAAAAAGACAATTTTAAAATGGCTATTACATATCACAAATAATTATAATTGAAGCTCATTTTGTCACTTAAAAATTTTATTGTAAATAGAGCACCTTAAGAGTGAATGCTCGACCATCACGTCCATCCGGAAACAGTACTGTGAGAAGCTTTTTATCTTCTCTAACAACAACACTGGAAGATGTATAACTCAAGTTATTATTAGAAAACAGATAACCATAATGTTAAATAAAAAATATGTTAATTATCTTACGTACCTCCCTGAATTGTTTAAGTCAATACCACCCAGTGTTAGATTAACTTCACCACCTCTCTGAGGAAGCGCGCTCTGCATAATCAATTAAAATAAAAACAATTACAAATACTAACATCAAAGTTGTAACTCCCATATATTTCAGTTGGAAGGAGTCACACAAGTGAAGACTGAAGATTGTCATAAAGCAATCCAGCCACTCCGACCTTATGATAACAACTATTAACTAAATGAAATGTCATTTACCAAAAATAAATTGCACAATGCATATTCATATTCTGATGTTGATAGGTGGGCATGGTTTAGGCAATCGCACCTTACTTTTCATGTGCAAGTTCATTGTACATACCCAAATATCTGCTTATTTTAGAGCAGAAGCATACAGAAAGAAAAGAAATAATTTGACACGAGAAAAACAAAATCCATGTTGAGACAATCAAATAACTTGAAACGACTTAGCCATTTATGTGACACTAACAGGGTCGTTTTTGAAAAAAACCAATGATGTCCGTGTAAGTATGAACCAACGCTTCTTCCAAGACTTCCAGCCTATTCCTACAAAAATTCAGAACAGTACAACAAAGATAAATATTTGTATGATTCAATACATTTGGATATGTAGTCTAATAAAAAAACATTAAGAACAGAAGAGCCACCTCAGAAAATAACCCCTTTGTCCTTATAAGAGAGAAAGGAAAGTAAGCGAGGAAAATCTGTAGAATAACCAACCTTTAGAAGATATGAAAAGTGGGCCACTTTTAAAAACCTGTCACAAATCACCAAAATGTTAGAAAGCCAAACAAATAACCACTTGATCACTTCTAACTAAAACGCATTTAAAATCAAGCAGCTATTACTTGTGATGGAAATATTTTAAGAATTTCCACCAGCTTTATCTTGAAAAGTAGCACCAAATTTGGAGAATAAAAATGCCATTATAATCCAGCAGAAGAAAGACAACACAAAAGTAAGATGGAAAAAAATAAACTCAAAATTATCAATATTAAAGAACAACATGGCTTATTTACCTCTTTTTGGATAAATAAACAAGCAAAAGTTTCATAATAGGATGGTAAATTATATGATAAAAAAGAACAAGAGAAGAAGCTGTATGAGGCCTCTGATCAGCAGAAAGTCAAAAGTGCTAATCTACAGTGTCCAGATAAACAGCTTGACCTTTGAAGGAGCTTTTGATTTCCAAATTGCCTTGTTAAATCTTTCCCTAGCACAAGAGTGCATACAATAGATAATGTAAGGTTTGCTTACTACACGCTGCAAAGATCATTATTCCAAACTCTCACCCAGAGTGAAAGAAAAGATGGTCTCAAAAGGAAGCAAAAGGATTATCATTCTATACTCAACCTAATGAATCCCTATTAAAATGAAAGTTCAACAAAAGAGAATATTCCCTCTGGTCCTTAATTTAAACAGAAAATCACATAGAAGCCACATGTAAGGAATTTAATTACTAATAGGTCCCCTTTACATGTCAACATGTGTTATAGTGTTATTTACATGTCATCCTGTGACATTTTGCACAGAATGGGACCTATTGATAATTAAGTTCCTCAACGGGACTTTCGATTTTCCCTTATATAAATCACTTTTCAATACCTCACCAAAACAAAGAAATAGATTGAGGGCATTTTTGGAATAAAGCAAGTAATGCTCCAGAAACTATTTCAAAATGATTTACATTTTGGACCATAAAACTCTTCTGGAAAGTGACTTGTATAAAGAACCAGAGGGAGGAATCCTGAAAAGACCAAAGTTTTTGTACAAAAGAATTACGCAAAGATGAAATTTGATAGTCTCAAAAAGGCATAAAAAAAACGAACATTTCCCGCCCAACTACTCTCCCAAAATCTAATAAGAAGGCTATCACTCACCCTAATAGATATTTCTGAAAAAGACAAACCCTTGAGATATAAATCTCCATAGAGCGCATTAGTAGCATTGATGGTCAGGTTAGTATCCTACCCGTTCCAATTTAAGCCACTCTCACTCTAAATGACCTAATGCCATAGACTAAAGTATCAATGGCCATGGACTACAAATTGTCCAGAAGAATTTGAAAACTAGAGAACAAAACAATCAAACAGTAAAAACTAAAATATTCAATGAATACCAATACAATTTCAGATAAACAAGAAAATGGAGTTATAATAGTGAATAGTAAAACTTAAAAACAAAAGTATAATGCTTAAGTGGGTATAAGTATACAGATAAATAATGGATCTATGGATATATAATTAGTTCTCTAAATGATGTTTTGCCAAAATAAAATTGAAAAAGGATGAATAAAGAAAACAAGATGACCAAGTTCTAACTTCAAAATATCAAACCATCTCTGAGGGAGAATGAGGGATAGACACATATTAAGTTATAAAATATTTAACCATGCACAAATAGAAGATCGCTGCATAAATAGAAACCCCACAATAAAAATCCAGAAGACAATCATCTACCATGATATATCATTTAACTAACCATCAATGAAGGAAATCAACACAGTCCAACTGACTGGACTAGGTCCCTTCTCAATGGGCTGTGACAGAAAGGACAGTAGAATAGATTCACTTTACCCTCTACATTATTCTTCTTTGCAATTCAAGCTTATAGTTAGGTCATGCAGCACCCTTTAGTTCTTTTTCCAAATACTGCAAATAAAATTCCTCTAAATTCAACTGCTTCAGTCATGAAGTTCCTTTTTATGCCAATGCACTTACTTGTTACCATCATCTATCAAGGACGCTCTCATCTGTTAACAGACACCCCTCTTTTCAAAGCCATCACCATTTATATATGTAGGCAATAAGACTAGTGGCCCCAAGAAAACGGTCCAAACTTTTGGAAACAGGTATTCATAGGAAATTTAAAAAGTACACTAGAAGGAAAATTCTTTTCCACCCCTCGCCAGAATTTGAAATTTCAGAAATCACTAAGGGGTAAATACATCTTGCACAGAATTCCTCGTCAAATTCAACAGTTAAACGCAACGAAAACTCAGCAAGGCCTTACTTAACTTTCTTGAATATTGTCTTCTGTGACTACATTTTGAAGGCACATAAACGCTATATAATCAAATACGTTCACTTTAAAATCGCAACCGTTCCGGCATGTGATTCAACTCTAATTAAAATCCATAAAGAAAACTCCTTCCCAGCTGGTATATATCCTTCATACCAAGAAGAAACATACCGTGTTGGAAGCGGCAGGTCGCGGCCGCTCAAAAGAAGCCGAAGAGGCCGACATTTCCACAGGGTATCACAGAAGAATCAACTTCATTGTGACTGAGTCTGAATCCGACCATAACCATCATCCAAAATTATCAGCATTTCAAATCCGCGAGTGAGCTCCGACTCCAACAGCGACAAAGACAAATCAGAGAGATTTGACTTCAAATTTCCAGACTTTCAAACCTTCGACTGAGATGCGAACATGGGATTCATCCGTCACTTCAACCTCCCAACCAGTTCCCCAGATGTCATTTACTCCAAAGACAAAAAAATTGAACGAATGAACTATCCACAGAAACCCCACGAGACAAATTCTTCTCCACCGGAAATGAAGGGTATCTCTATTTTCTCTTGTCTCACTTTTTCCGGTGAAACTCTCTCACTTTTCTATTAGATTAGGTAAAGGGAGCTATAGTGGTTGTCACGGAAATGCGAAAATCTGAAATTGTGCTTTGCTTTTCACCTACTTCTGGTCTCTTTGCGCCAAGGAGAGAGAGGGAGGGAAACAGAAGAGGAGGAATAGAGTGAGGGTGAGAGACCGGGTTGGGTTGGGTCCTCTATAGTCAACGTTGAATCTGTTGAAGTCAGGATCCAGTAATAACAGGACACGTCAGCAACATAATTAGTATGAGCCTCTAGATTTCATGAATGGATATTACTTCCCTTAAGAAGTGAGATTTTGAGGAAATATAGAATATTAAGGTAAAAAAAAACAGGGAAAAACAATATAGGAATATAGGAACTAGGTAGCTAGCATCTCTATATCATTCCGTGAACAAATCGTCCCTGTTCTGCACATGACTAGATGCTTGGTAATTGTTATGATTAACCTCACTTCCATCGCACAACCTTGTTGATTGAATCATTCCTTCCTGTTCAAGGTGTAAGCTTCTTCTTTCTTCTTTTTTTTTTTTTTTAATTTTGAAGTTAATTTTGATCCAAGATATAATAAACTTAATATTTAAAAAATTATTTTTTATTTTATTCATGGTATTTGTTAACCCAATTTCTTGATTTTTGCCATCATCATTCTTAATCTATGTTTAATTTAATTTATTATTAGTAGTTGGGTTAAGGGCAAAATAAATCACAATATATTTTCATGAAAATAAGAATATAAATATCTTTTTATTTATACTTGAATTATAGTTGAAAATTGTTTACATTGTAGATTGAAAGGAGTATATTTTTTGCATATTTATTGATTTATTGATACTGATATGTTTTTTACTTTCTCTAAATCACAAGTCATACCTAATCATATTTCACATGCTGGATGAAAAAAATGTTTCTTTATTCACAAAAGAAAGACATTTTTTGTCTAAATATATTTTTTCTTTTTACCTTTAAACCTTTACTATAAGAAGTGAAAAGAAATGTTTAGTGAGATTATGTGAGTATTTTCTATACTCACATTAATTAATATATAAGGATAAATTTTAAAAATTAATTTTAAAAATATTTCTTACATTTTGGACCAAATTTAATTTTACAAAATGTTATATAATTTGAACCGGAATGAGTATGTTAATGCATAAAGTTTGATGAATGGGTTACATATAGTGTTTTTATTTTGAATGGTAAAACTCAGTATGAATTTTATGGTATATTTGTAGAACTTAAAATTCTTTTTCAAAAAAAAAATCTAACTTTATGTGTGCAATATCTTGTGGCATTTAAGTAAGTCTAACAACGATATTTATGGTTATTAATGAATATATAACAAAGATCCGACAACGTAGGGAACATATAGATAATAAATTATGGTAATGTTTATTGAGTTAGATATTCTGACCAAATAAAGTAAATGATATATTGACCAATTTGCTTGTTGTTAATGAAATATTATGATATTGAAACTTGCATCATTTTCATAACAAACTTTTAATAAAATATAATATATTCCATCTAGTTACTCAGGCAAACTGAGATAGTAGTTGCACCCTTAAAAATATTTTAAAAATATGTAACTTTTCAATTTTGTCTTTCTTTACAATTAATAATTATAATAAATTGTTATCTAGGAATTTAAATAATAATAAATAAAGAGTAAAATTTAAAAATAAATTAATTACTCTAACTTTATCTATATTCCCTTCATTTTTAAATATAAGATAAACTACCATGAATTTATTTGTTTTTATTTATAAGAAAAACTATAAATTTTAACAAGATATTTATTACATTTTTCTCAAATTGTCTCTTATAAAGTCAATGTTTATTTTCACTAGATAAATTTATTTTATTAATTACAGGGTTAATTTAGTCTAACTTTTTTAATTTTAAATATAATTATTATACTTAACCAAACTTTTTGAATTGATTTTTTTCTATATTTGAAAATGGAAGGAGTATTAAAAATTAACAAGGCTTTTGAAATTTACCTTATAGTATTAAAGACAGGGAGGAGGAGGAGTACATTTGTTTTTACTACAATTAGAAATTAGAAATTTAGAATTATTGAACATGCAACAAAGGTCCGGCAATGTGGGGAACAATAAATATTAAATTTATTGTAATATTTAATGTGTTAGATATCCTGACCAAATAAAGTAAATTACAGACAAACAAACAGCAAGTGATGGCATACCATTTGTAAATGAAATATTATGATTTATAACTTTTTCAAAATAAATTTTCAATAAAAATCAAGAACATTCACAAAAATATAATAATTAACTTCTTTCTTGTCTAGGGGCAAAACTCAAATAGAATGAAATATAGTTTTTTCCAACCATTGACACTACTAATTTGGATTGATCACGAGTCTTAATTAGAGTCTTTTCAGTCAATTGAATTGAAATATAAAATAATTAATTTTAATTATTATTTTGTAGCCGATATCATCTGATGGAATAAAGATTAATGTTGTCGTTTGGCATGCATAAACACTTATATAAATTATTTCTATAATATATATTAAATGAACATCAATCCTTATTCATATCAAAGGGTCATAAAATACTAATCTCAATGAAGTTTTTAAAAATTATAACTCAGCATCGCGCATGCTTCTTAGGATTCAGTGTATGGTAGTTTAACTGCTCCCTTGGACTTTCGTATAACAGTTTATAAAAGGAATCTTACTTGGAACTATTTTAATGCATACACGTGTGTGTGTGTGTGTGTGATGAGAATAATAGTATTCAATCACAGCATTTTCAATTTTCATGCATGCTAAACTTAAGAAAAAAAGTAGAGACTATATGACAAATAAAAGAAAGGAAAATAATGCGCCTATTGCTAGTTAATTTATGTACGAGAAGTGAGAACAAGTGACAATTATTGGATAATTTCATACCTAGTAAATTAATTAAATTAGGTTATATAATTAGAAAAAAGTTAGTATATACATGAATTCAAACAAAACAATATCATCCTTGAATTTTGTATGAAAAAAGTATTAATTTCACCTAATTTAATTAATTTACTAGGCATGAAATTATAAAAATAATTTATTTTTAATGTAAAATAACTTATAAAAAGAACTAAAAGGCAACTTATAATACACATAAACACACATATAAAACCGATAGGTGTGTTTTGTTTTTTGTAAAGGGGGAATGGCATTAAAGAACTAAGAGATGGAATTAAATTTAAATAGAGATTAAAAGAATTGGAAATCAGAAATGAGGACTAAAGATCCTTTAATGAATTGGTTTAAATCTTCTTTACTCTCATTACATGATTCGTAACCATCAAAATAAGAATTTGTAAGTAAGATTCACTAATTTTAAAAGGCAAAATTTTTCAAACATAACACCATTTTCATTGTGAAAATTGGTACATGTGATATATTTGACAAGTTAAATGCCCTATTTTCATATATTAAAACAAGAATCTAACTTGCAAGTTATTTGTGAACGAAGTGTAGATTAACAAATGTCACTTACAAATTCGTTTTCTGAGAGTTACAAATTGTAAGATCCTACATATTTTGAATTGACAAATTAAAGATGAATAATTTACAAAGAGTGACTATTGAGCCTACTAGATATGTTTTTATTTTTTTTTTAGCCTACATTGGATATGTTGGTAGGTTTAGAATTAGACCAAAAGGGATCTTGGGCCACTTGAGTCCAAGATGAATTGGGGAGTTTTGGAATCAGATTCTCTGTGTCATTTGTCACGATAAATACTTGAATTTTGTTGTAATCATTTCTTAGCCGATAGTCGAAAAAAGACAAGAAAGAAAGGACAATGTAGTCACCTACGAATTATTTTTATGACTAATTAATGAAGGCTAAGTTAAGTCAAATGATGTTGGAGTTATGAAGAATTAGAGTTAACACTGAGTTTAGGAAATTTAGGTTGTTATAAAGAGTCAAAACTTACCGTATTGGATATATATTAATGAAGGAATGTTGTGGTAATTTGTAGATTAACGTTGTGTTAAAATTCTTGGGTGAGAGGAAGTCTTAGTGTAAATTGTGGTGTGTTGAAGAGTTGAGGCCGGTAAGTGGAAATAAATTCTCTTATCTTGTTTGTTTGTATTTATGAGTTTATATTAAATGATGATTATACTAATGATTATGAAACATAACATGTTTTGGTTTATAAATATTTTGTGAAATGGGTTTATGGAAAAATTTGTGTGAAAAGCATAATAATGATGAATTATGTTTTATATTGAGAATTTATATGAATATGGGTGCTTTGTATGTATGATTTCATGATCATATATGTCACGAGGAGAGTTCACTCTTAGAGGAGGTTTATTATTAAATTCCACATGATATGCCACTACTTATGGATGCTACAATGATTGGCTCTTCTTGTCTGGTGCATCAGTGTCACCCTTTTTCTTTGGTCAAGCATGACACCCATATTCAAGCAAAGGGAATTCATATAGTCTAGTCATATGGACTAGTCACTAAAATTTATAATCCATGAATTTAGTCAAAAGTTTCCAACAAGATATAAGGGAAGCATTATAAAGGTCATGAATGATTTCATGTGTTTATCACATGATTGATTGAATATGTTTATTATAATACACACATTTTGGGTGTTCAAACATCTTAATTGACTTGCATGTAACTAAATTGAGTTTCTAGTTATTGAGACTTTATGTCTCATCTAGTCATCATTATGGATTAACATTTTTTTAGGTGAGGGATCGATTAGAGGCAAAGGGCTCGATGTTTTTGTTAATGGTTTGTAATGCCTCTATTTTAAATACTTGTGTTAGGAGTAGTATATTACCAAACTTGAGATAATATTTTGTTTGCACTTGCATTATGTGTTGAATGCCTCATTCACTCTTATAATTTTAGCCTATTGGGTATGTCTCATGTGTTGATTTTTGCAAGGCCTTAAATGTAACATCCTGATTTTTATATAATAAAGAAATTGTGGAATTTAGGTTTTGAGGAAAAAAATGATAATAATAGGAATTTATATTATTTGAGGTTATTTAGAAATGATATTATGGTTAGGTATTTAATTATAAATTTAAAAATTTAAATTTAAAATCACATAAGCAATATTTAGTTAAGA